AAGCCCTATATATATTAATACTCTGTTTGTGTGTGGATTTTGGAGGTTGGCCTTCGGTAATCCCGGATTACTGGCCATCACGGCACCAAACTAATAGGGGTGGTTTGGGGTCGTGACATGTCACGTCCTTTCCTGTACTAAAATCCCATAGGGGGTGAGCACAAGGCTCAATAGGAAATTTTTAACAAATTATATACATTTTATACAAGCTTCACAAAACAAAATGCACATGCCATGTTATGCTTCTTGAAAGAAAATCACATTTTCGTCTTTTGAAAACCATCATGCTTAATGACAACTTGAAATCCCAACAATTCAAAAATTATCAATTTAGTTCAAGAGACGGTAAGTACGACTCAGGAAATCCCTAGGTTAGTGTCTGCAAGTAGGCATAACTAGTACTACCAAAACCCTACTTTATTGGTTACCAACCGGAAGAGAAGTAGTACCTCTTTCGCGCGTGTTTTCGGTCTTTCACCCCCGACACTCAGGCTAACTTAATCAATTTCATCTACACTCCTTATCCGGACTTACCAACGTATTTACCCTAAAGCAATTCCATGAAAATTTATTTACAAACTTTCTTTTCTCAATGCAAAAGTTTCCAAACTCAATTCAAAATGTGTAATAACCAATTGAATGGATATGCAATGCAACAATTACCAATGCCACATAATATTTCTCCACTTTCAAATATCTCAAACAATAATTCCATAAGAATCAAAATTTCCATTTTTCCTTTCAATGCTATTTCACAAAATAGCCACATATTCACTTAATTCTATCAATAAATAGCAACATTTTCATATTTCGTACCTTTCTCAACAATTTAGTCATTTTAAGACTATATTAACATCTTTGTACAACAACTTCCAAAATCACCTCTTCTTATATTTCACGAAATTCATCATTTATATATAGAGATGAGAAATTCTCCAATCACTTATGCATTTTGGCACAAAAGGATAATATAATAACAATGTCATCCATGAATTCTCAACAACTTTTCAAAACCTCCAAATCTCTAGGTTTTCTGACTAGAACTATGCACACTCAAATCATTTGAAAGGGTTTCTTCAAAAACATTCTTTTTTCAAAATTCTCAAGAAATTATTTTTTAAAAAAGAAACTAGGAGGAAAAGCACCCTCAAACCACCCACATTCTTGAGCTAACAATCAAGTTTCAAAACGATCAAAAGGGATTTCGAAAATCAGCTAAATCTTACAAAAACATATATATAACTCTAAAAAGATCCCTACCTCAAGTTTAAAGAAGAAATGAGATGAAACCCCCAAAATCAACGGTATTGAAACTCGATCTCCACCACACAAAATGAAGCCCTCGCTTAACTTTCCAAGATTTGTGAAGGATGTAGGGTCAAAATTCCAATGGATTGGAAGAGATCAAGAGTTTATGGTGTTTGGTGGAGGTTTTTAGAGAGAAAGGAGAGGAAATGGTGTTTTTAGAGAGAGAGAGATGTGTAAAAAGGGAGATGCATATAGCCCAAAAAAGAGAAAAAACAAAATTTTCGAACTCAGCTGACTCCCGTACGTGCGACACCCATTCCTGTATGAACGACGACCTCTCCCGCACGTGCGGCTCACTACCCCGCATGTACGGCGCTTCCTTTTTGCACTTTCTTTCGCACCTGCATTTAATCCAGAATGTGCCAGGACAGCTGCTCTCTTTACCGCACGTGCGGCCCCCCACTCTGCATGTGCGGCCCAAGCCCCTGTGCGTGCGGTTCACCCTCTCAGCCCGCAATCAGCCCAGTACAACTCGGGACCCCTCAGATTCGACCCTGTACCTTCCGAAATGTGTGAAACTTGGCATGGAAATAAGCAAGGAGAAGGATTTTGAGAAAAGCTTTCAAATACAATAACCCAAACTATTAATCAAGGCTCCTAGTTAGATCCGACACTCTAACGAAAGTAAATCCAATATACCTTAAGAGGACGAGGCGGATTACGTACCATGTCATTACACGTCCCAACATATTAGTCTATTTTGGAGAATTCAATTTTTTTTGATAATACAATTATTATATTTCAAAAATATTAACTTTCCAAAATTACTCTTTGACTTTTTTTTTTTTGAACATCAATTGTCATAATTAATAAATTTAAAAGAAGAATAAAATGGGAAATTCTTTTAATTTTAATCTTTGTTTTTTTGAAGAGACTAATATGTGCAGACAGAAAAAAAAGAAAAGAAAGTAATATAGGACTAATATTTTTGGGACCGATGAGGAGCAAAAGTTAGAAAATAATAATTAAAAATACTCTAAATCATGAAAAATACATGAATGCGACTTAACTATTATCCAAAATAAAAAATTATGACTCAAATATCCAAAAGTAATAAGAAATTTAAAAATTAATTCTTTTGCCTAGTTAATCATCTCAACGTGGGAGAATGTTTGGATTTGGTTAGTTCATTTTGGGGTCAACTTCAATGAGCTGAGTCATTTACCTTTTAATACCCATTGAGTAGAATATTGATACAAAAAACAAAAATGATCAAATATCGATCAGTATATATTTAAATTAAATTTGTATTATAAAAAATAAATAATTACTCTTCAAATTATAATTACCGTCTATTTTGAAATAGGGGAATTTACATGTAAGTCCTAGGGTCTGTTTAGTAACCATTTAATTTTCAGTTTTCAATTTATATTTACAAAAATTTTAAAAACTATCATAAAAACTTGTTTGATAATTTTTTTGGTTTATAAATAGTTTTCTCAGATTGTAAATTTGACAAAAAAAAAAAAACATAAACTCAAAAAATGAGTTTACGTTAGTTTTTAAAAAGAAATTTAAAATTTTCACAAACAAATTTTTTTTTTCAATTAATTTTTGTTCAAATAATTTTTTCTTCAATTAATTTTTTAATTAATTTTTTTTTCAATTATAATGTGTATGGTCCCATTGTCATAGATAATAAAAAAATAAATATAAATATTTTAGGCTTGAACAAACATATTTTTTAGTTTATGTTTTTAAAATTTTTCAAATATTTTGTTCAAACCAAACTTTTTATAAAAATAAACAAAAATCAGTTTATAAAATTTTTATAAATATAAACAAAAAATATAAACGTTGCCAAATGCTACCCTAATAAGTGAACATATTGTCCAATAGATCCTATGATAATTAATGATATTTTTCGTTAAATATTATTAAAAAAGTCACTAATTTTTAATTTTTGACGACAGTTTGGAAATTTTGTCACAAAAAATGTCACTAATTATAAGTTTTAGTGATAGTTTAAAAAAATCGTCACAAAAAAAAGTCACTAATTAACAACTTTCAGCAATAATTTAAAAAATTCGTTACAAAAAAATTGTCACTAATAGTTTGTTTTAGTACCGTTTATGAAACCGTGAACAAAAAAGTCACAAATTGTCAATTTTTAGCGACATATGTAAAAAATCGTCACAAAAAAATTATTTTTAGTAATGATTTTACTAAAACTTCTTTCAATAAAATTTGATGAGAATTAAGTCCAAATATTAAGACCTATTAGTAGTTTACATTTAAAAAAATATATAGGTTGTGTTTGGTTTCCTTTTGGAATCATGATTTCAAAGACAAAATTTTCAAATCACTTTTTAAAATTCATAACCAAAGACATAGTTCAAAATAATTCAAAACTTAATTCAAAAATTATTTTCAAAACTCATAACCAAACATACAACTTAAAACTCAAAAGCAAACCCTTTTAAAAAATCTATTTTAAAAGAAAAATTCAAAAAAATATATTTTATTTTATTTTTTTATTTAAGTTTAGAATCATGATTTAAGTTTAAAATCATGCTTTGAGTTATGAGTTTTGAAAAGAAAAAATTTATTTGATTATGAGTTTTGAAAAGAGTTTTGAGTTGTATTTTAAATTTTTTTTGATTTATTTTTTAAATATTTAAAAATTTTCTTAATTTTATTTTTTTAGGGTAAATATTTTATATTTTAAATATTTATTTATTTATTTTAATGTGCATTATATTTCATACATTTATGTGTTGTATTTTTTTTAATATTACAAATTTTTTAAAAAAATAATATTTTTATTTTAAATATTTTAAATATTTTAATTTTTTTGTTATGTGTTGGTTAGGATTTGAGTGTAGAGTTTTGAAAGTAGTATGGAGTTTCAAATTATGTGTTTGGTTATGAATTTTGAAAATAATTTTTGAATTGAATTTTGACTTATGTGTTTGGTTACGATTTGAGTGTGAAGTTGTGTTTTCAATTTAAAATATTAAAATTAAAAATTAAAATATTTACAAAATAAAATAAAATGTTTGAAATAAAAATTTTTAAAAATATTTAAATAAAAATTGTATATTTAAAATTAAAAAATAAAATTATATTAAACATTTTTTGATATTTAAAAAAAAATAAATCCAAAAAATTCAAAATATAATTTAAAATTTAAAAACTCAAAACTTAAATACAACTCAAAACTCTTAACTAAACAAATTTTCTATTTTCAAAATTTAAAATTCAAAAAAAAATTTCAAAACACTTTTCAAAAATTATAACTAAACAAATTTTGTCTTTTCAAAATTTAACTTAGAATTCTAAACTTAAATCACAATTCTAAAATTAAACCAAACACAACCCATATACCCGAATCCTCTCTGCAGTTGTGTGTTTTTTTTTTGTTTTTTGTCTCTGCAGTTATTTTTATCAATAGTGTTGGGACCCAGGGGTGAACCCTAGCACCTCTACCTCTAGGTGGAGCTGTGAGATCCCGTTATGCTACATCAGTTCGGGGTCACTGGTTCCGAAGAGATGGGGCAAATTGAACAATCCCGTTACGCCACATCAGTTGGGGTCACTGGGGTCCGAAGAGATGGGGCCGGAAGCAATTTCCTATTTTTATTAGAAGTGAGCAGATGTGAGCAGTGGATGTTACAATCCGCTCAAACCGACCGAGCGGAACTGAGCCGACCCGCTCAAACCGCCACATCTACAATCCAGTCCATAAAACAGCATTGTTTTGACTTTTAAAAGAAAAAAAATAAATAAATAAGAAAACGTGAAACAGAACTGGAACCGGAGTCGTCGGCCATTGTTGTCCGACCTAGCAAAACGAAGAGAGAAGAAGAAATCTTTTGAGAAGAACGTCGAGCCTCAGCTATTGTTGTCCGCCGGAGCTCTCTCACGCCATAGATTGAACCAGGTTCGTCTTCCAAACTCTCAAATCTAATTTCAGATCTAGATTGAGACGTTAGGATTTTGATTGAGAAACTAGATTTGAAATTAAAAAATTAGGGCTTTCATTTGGAGCTTTGAAAAATTAAGGTTTTGATTGGGCATGATAGTGGTTCTGCATTGAAGATATGAATAGTGTTCGTAGTTTCATATTGTTGATGATGATGGATTTATAGTTTCATGTTAAGTTTTTATTGTTTTGTTTTTGGCGGAATATCTATATTGTTTTAATCATTTATCATCTATATTGTTTCATGTTGTTGCTGCTTGTTTTGTTTCATAAATACAAACTTGTGTTTCATAACAAGTTATGTTAAAATTATTTGGTATTGGGCAATATTTTTAAGTACATATTATATTTTTAGCAACAAATCCAAAACAATATCGGAAACCAATGGAAGAAACGGTACTTAGTCTGATAGGAGATTGACAACTTTGCTCTTATATTCTACTGGGTTCTCTCTCTATTTGCAGAGGCTAGGTACGTCAAAGAACCAACTAGACTTTTTTGATGTTACATTTATATGCATACAAAGTGAAGAACGCTCAATTAGTTGGAATGTTGAATGGTTCTATTTTTCCAACAATAGATGCGCTAGAACCCGAGTAAAGATTTAGCTTTTCTTTTATTATTTTTTCTTTAAATTTCTTTTGACTAATTTTTTAGGTATTGTTTAAGAAATTGTCACAGTAACTGCTGTCCACATTGTTAAAATTCTGGGTTGAAGTTACTTCAAATTGCAGATCAGAGCTATGCTAGTTTTCGGTAGCCGAAATCCACTTTTCTTCGAATTTTCCTCAATTGGGAAAAAACAGGTTGAGTGTTGAGTTTTTATTTTTATTTTTATTGAGAATCTTCAAAGTAAAGTTGAATTCTATCTTGTTGTACCAATTTTTATTGACCTGAACTCCATATTGACTCTTCAGATTAGGATCAACAGAGTAAAGCCTTCGTTAGGGGTTGAGTTTTCGAAATGCAGGTTTTCCTTCTTGCAGAAGGCTACAGAATTTAGCCTTTTCACAGAAAAGGCAAGCAAGAATAATTTGTATGAACAATTTTGTATATCCTATTTTTTAAAAATATTTCTTATAATTTTTTTTTGACCTACTTGGGTTTTTAAGTTTGTGGGTTTTTTTGTTTCTCTCTCTCTCTCTCTCTTTCTTAGAAAACTTTATATTCATTTGTAGGTAGCGACCATCTCTCTGATCAATTGCTACCATAGTCAAAGTGAGCAGACTCCAACTGATTCCAAGGCTGTTGATAAGTAGGTGTTTTCTCTTGCTCAAAATACTTGTAATACTACCAGTTTTTTTGGTTGTTCATGGTTCATGTTTTGGAATAATAGTGTATGTCACCTTATATACTGAAAAGGTGTGGCATCTTTGGTAATTTGTCACTATAATTGTCTTTCCTAGTTTCTTAAAGTTGCTTTACAGAGGTTTTCTTAACATGTAATGCAGGAAAATTACTAGGAAGGCTGGAAAGAAACAGCACCACTTGTGGATTAAAAGAGATTCAGCTGGGTCTGGGCAAAAGGCACTCAATCTTGTTAGAATTGTATGTTTAATCAGTTATTTCTTGTTGTGTAGGGAACTGCTTTGATCTTTCAAGTTTATTCTTGTCATAGAAACTCGTTCTTTCATTTGTTTGAGACTGCATCAACATGTAAGTTGCATTTCTGCATATTTGGAATTAAAAAATAGCATTCAAGTAGATTACATTCTGGAAGTAAACCTAAATCTGTCAGGTTTCTGCACTTCCAAATGAGAAAGAAGCCGTTTATGGTGCATTAGATAAATGGACAGCTTGGGAAACAGAATTCCCATTAATTGCAGCAACTAAGGCTCTACGAATCTTGAGGAAGAGGAGTCAGTGGATTCGAGTGATTCAAGTATGACACTTCACGAACTTTGTTTTACATTTTTGAGCTTGTGTAGTGGCATATTTGTGATGACCTTCTACTACTTATATGATATATTATTAAATTGGTGCGACATAGAATGCCCTGGATGATAGATGTCACAAATTCTATCTGTCTTACAGTTACGAGTTAGTGGTATGACATGGTTTGGTCCAACCTCAAATGTGGAGACCTTGACGTTGCTAATGGTTTTAAATAATGATATCGGGATATATATCAGTATTGGTGATACGGTCATATATTAGTCGATATATCAGTGAATAATGGTATCGGTAGGCCAAAATCCTGTTACATAATGTAACAGCCAAAACCCTATTGCGGTTCACTTGTTTCTACTTTAAGTTGCAAAATGAGAACCAAGATCGGTTTGGTCTCTGGTTCCTTTTCTGAAATGTCTAGTGATGTTAGGCACATTTGATATGCCCGAGTCACCCATTTGACCATTATGCCCTCGTCATGTGGGCTGCTATATTTGTACTTCAGTGTAGTTTTATTCCACTTGCTTGCTTGAATCTAAACTTTTCTGGCCCATCTCAAGCTGGGGTGGTTTGTTTCAATTTACTAGAAGCTTGGGTTTGAGTAGTATAAAGATGACAGCTCATACTAGATCAGTTTGGTTCAAGCTTGATGGTAAATTGATCCATTCCCAACTGAGTTTTACTTCAAATGTTGCATTTCGCATTCTGATGAACAATTGCACCTTTATTGAGGACTTGAGACATGTTTGAAAATGTGAGGTCTTTTGGCAGTTCTTTTGTACCCAAATGTTATGTTTTGGAAAGAGATTTAAAGAACTACATGGATTAGTAATACTAGTGTTGAAACATGACCCTTTGTATCCAAATGTTTCAAGAAGCTGAGCGCATCCACAACCTCCAGGGGTTGGCGTAGTGGGGTAGGTTTGGAACTGTGGAGTTTGCTCCTCTCTAGGTCTTAGGTTCGAAACCTTTTACGTGCTATCAATTCTTGTGTTGGGCCAGTCTATATGGAGCTTACTTTAGCTTTAATTGGGCCCCCTGTTAGGGACGGTGGGATTGGTCCCCTAGGGATTAGTCGAGGTGCGTACAAATTGGCTCGAACACCCTGAGTTTTAAAAAAAAAGAAAAAAAAAAAAGTAGGATTAATTACAAAAAAATCCCAAGGTTTCATTTGTTAACCCAAAAAAAAAAAAAAAAACCCTAAAAAACAAATAGCGCATCCATAGCATCACCAACATATGAGTATGATATGTAGTAGCTTCCTTAGAAGTAATATGTGAACATTACAATCTCAATTCTGGGAATCTCTATACATAAAAAAAAAAAATTCTTGGGGACCCTATGAAGCATGGACACGTGCGCTAGGGGCACATGCATGTTTGACACATGTCAAACATATGTTGGGCACACATTTGACTGTGTCCTACTTTTCTATGGTTATTTTCTTGCTGAAAACAAAAGACATGGCAGCAATCTTAGCTGCAATCCAGTACTTACTTTGTCAGACTAAGAGTTTCACCTCATGCATCAGATGAAGTGTCGGGGCCCTCTTCATCATCTCCGAGCAATGATGACTGCGGCTTGTCACGGCCTTGGTTGTTTCCAAGCTATTCGTGCGGCACTTAGACGATCTCAAGCTTCACTTGATGATGCTAAGTCAGCCTAATTCACAAACTTAGAAGAAAGACAAGTAAGAGGAACACAAGAGAGTTTGAGAGAATGTCTTGTATTCACTATGAGAAAGCTTTACAATTCTTGGATTATTGAGGGAGCAAATGAGCCCTTCCCCTATTTATAGGCATCTTAGGCCTTCTCTAGAAGATTCCAGAGCATACAAGAAAAGGACCATGAAGAAGCTTCTCATGGAAGCTTTCCTTAACCTACAAGAGGCTTCTAGAATTCTCTTTAAAAATATCTATACAAACATCTACTTCATTCTACAAGTAGGTACAAGGATCTTTTACCACCTCCATTTCTCTAAGAGATTCTAAAAGCTTCTATTGCTTCCATCCCTCTAATATTCACTTGAATACTCTAGAACCTTTTCTTAGATCCTTCCATGTACATTATAGAATTATATACCATATTCCCATATTTTCTCAAGTCTTCCAGGAGCTTGTAGAATATTCCATTAGCCTCCCTTCCTTGAGACTTCCTCTTGGTAGGCAATTCTGTTTAGGTAATTTGGCGGGATGTGACAGGCTGCTCCTTTATTTTCTCTTTCCGTCAGCAATGGCAGCTACTTCTTTATCAATCAACCTTGAGCCAACTAATTTGAGCTTTCTCAGTTGCTTTGTTATTTTGTGTGGGATTTGGGCCTAGTGATTTTAGGTTATATATTTAGTTGCTTTTTTTTCTTGTAGCTTTAGGCCAAAGCTGATTTTTAGGCTTTGTATTTCAATTTTCATGGGCCATATGCTTGGACTTGGCTGTTAAAATTGAAATTGCGTTGGTTAGCTACAAATTCATAGACCATACGTTTTGAGTTTGGAATAGGATTGGACCCTAGTTGAGAGTTTGCGCTGTAATAACTTTAATTAAAATTATTTCTGTTATTTCATATAACAAGTAAAGAGGTGTATAATTTTTTTTTTTGGTTATATTAAAAATATTTATTTTTATGTGCTTCGTAGGGGTGATGTATTCGTATTTGTGCGATGACAGGCATAATTCATACAAGCATGCTCTGTTACTCACACGTGTACTTGCATGAGCATGCTGCACTAAAATTAGGACACGTGTTTAAAAAATGTACAAAATTGACCTGATTGACCCTAGTTTGGTCCTGTAGTTTTTAGTATTGAATATGGTAAAAAAAAAGACCAAAAAATCCAAGTTCAGTGTTCCCGCTCAAAGCATGTTCACAGGCTGCTCAAGTGGACTGCAGATGGTGTTATGCAGAGATCTTGTGAGCTCCTCCCTTGGGGCACTAGGGAGATGTTACGAGTTGTGCACATACAAAATTAAGTCCAACTTGGTTTCTACTTCAGTCTAACCTATATATTTATTTGAATTATGTTCTCTGTTTAAAATAGACCACAAATTCCAACAGCTTAATATTCCAATGTTTCCAAATTCTCTAAGAAACTCTAACGCTCTCAAGTTTTTGAAGCAGATTATAATGTTCTATTCAGTCACATAGAAAGTTTCTAGATTAAGTGTTCTGACAAGAACACATGCATATTTGTATGGCACACTTAGCCTTGGTCATTCGTGTAACAAATCCACGAAAAGCAGAGATCACTGTGGTTGCTTTCAAATCAAAAGAAGGCTGATGAACATGTTGAAGCCATGAGAAGTGGAGTTTGATTGAGTTTCTGGTGACTGTAAGCACATAAGGTCAACCGGGTTGGGTTGTCAAGTCCTTTTTACTAGTGGAGTTGGTAATCTCTTGATTGATAATTGATGTTTGACCAACTAGGTGTCTCCATAGGTTTTCCCTTGTCAAGAGTTTTCTATGTAAATCTCGTCTATTTAATATTGCTAGGCACAAAAATGTGTCAGCCTCTGTGATTCAATATTTGAGTGGTCAGGTTGAATGAATTCGCACTGATTAGTTGGTGGATTCTGATTTATATGCAGAATTACTGGATTTTGCTAAATTAGTTGTTGATTTTATAACATTACTGGTTACTGAACCTCAGTGCTACCCAGGTTTCCAAGTGGATGTTGAGCAAAGGTCAAGGAGCGACTATGGGAACATATGACACGCTTCTACTGGCATTTGACATGGACCAGAGGGTTGATGAAGCAGAATCATTATGGAATATGATTTTGCATACGCATACACGATCTATCTCAAAGCAGTTGTTTGCTAGGATGATCTCCTTGTATGATCATCACAATATACCAGATAAAATAATAGAGGTGTAACAAACTCTTCACTTTCACCTTCTATAAGTAAATTTTGGTTCTGAATTTAGGTTTTTTTGTTATTGAGAAAATTACACTACCGCCCCTGAGTTTTCTGACAGACAGCCGTTTATTTTTTGGAAATTCTGCATATTAGGAAGCTTAGTTACATGACAATGATCTTAATATTACTGAATTGTAATTTTCTTGTAAAATTTAGGTGTTTGCAGACATGGAGGAGTTAGGTGTAAAACCAGATGAAGATACCGTCAGGAAAGTTGCACGTGCCTTCCAAAAGCTAGGTCAAGCAGACAAGAAGAAGCTGGTTCTCAAGAAGTACCTGAGTAAATGGAAATACATTCACTATAATGGTGAACGGGTTAGGGTAAGACGATGTTTATGGGGTGAATAAAAACTGTTTAAGACTTTTGTCAAACCAAAATGGGTTTGAAGTCAAAATTTGCAAAGGAAGCACACTTTGCGACAAATGTTCTATCAACTTGAACATCATTTGATGAAAAAGAAGCCGACTTGCTAGCCTGAACCACAAGCCAGCTGTTCTTTATACTAAGGTTCCAGTGCTGGACCTTTTTTTTGTTGCTATTATGGCAGAGTTTTGATCGACTTGACCATGTGTCAATGGGTAACAATTCAACTTGCTGTTCCGATACAAATTTATTGGTTTCCAACATCCTCATGACATTCCCAAGGAAAGTGGACATAATGGTTTTTCCATTGTAAAAGACATTGTATTGTATGTCGAGCCAAAAAAAAGAAATTGACATTGTATTGTCGGGTTTATTCAGACATTGTTTTTGCAATCTGGACGCAGATTCAACTGGAGTCTGCTGAATTACATTGTGTACCAATTTAGTTCTTTCATTTGGATGCATCAAGAGTTGAGAGTAACATTAAATTTGGTAAACAAGAGGTCATGATGGTGACAACTGATGTGGTGAAGGTGATGGTGGTGATTCCTCTCAGTAAGAAAAGGGAAAGGTGGTACACTTGTTTTTTTGCTTTTTGATAACTTGGTTTCCGGCCCAAGGCGGTACAATTGTACCATTTTGTATTTTGAATGTGGTTCTTTTGAATTATTTTTCTGTAATCTTAATGGAAATGTTGAATCCATTCTTAGATCCGTAATGGAATGAAATTAGCAGGATTGTTTTTTTGTGCAATCTCTCTGTTCCTTGATTTATTATTTTGATCTTTCTTTGCTTAGGCCTGGGGAGTAGGGGTAATTCCATTCAGAAGATTGATTATACCACTGTTGTGCTTGCTGGTATTATTGTCATATAAACAGGTTGCATTGAGTGTACTGTACTACTTTTTGAGACAACTGAAGCTGAAGCATGGCTGCAATGGTAAAATTTATTGTTTGTCAACATTCATGAAGTTTCACTGATGGACGATTTGGCTTATTCCCGGTGACTGGAGTTGGGGAACTAAATTTATGAATCCGGTCCTCAATTTTTCTGCATTACAGATGAGAGCAAAGTCAGTCCAATACTCAGATTCTGGTTCAAAATTTCCATTTCTTTCTATAAGCATATCAGCGTAGATTCCGGTCAAAACAGGTCAACAAAATGAAAAAGTGCAACCTTTTCCTATTTTCATAAATGAGTTTTGAGGCTCTGTATTAATTACTTTTTCAGGACCTCAATCAGCAACCCTTTCAATTATTCAATCCTATAGACTTGAAAATTCCCCCTTTGCTATAATTCCTCCCTATAATTTGAAAATAAAAATCAAAACGAAAAAAAAAAAAAAAAAACAAAAAAAGAAGCAAACCGAGAGAACAAACTATGCCAATGATACTGCCATGGGACTCCGGACAATGTGGACTCCATCAGTCCAAGTGAACCATCCAAACCTGTACCCATTTTTCCCAACCGTGCCCACTCCATCACTCTCTGCTTTAACCGTGATAGTGAAGCTCTTCTTCTCACCCATATGGCTAAAGAACAAGATAGGCGGAGAGACCTTGATGGAGAATCCAAGTGGTGGCTTGACACTGGAAAAGTACACACTCTTCCCATCACCAACATTTGTGACAGTTCTCTCGACAGTGACTGTGCCATTGAGTTTGGATATGGCAAGGGATGGGTAGTTGAGGTTGTTGGTTGTGGTTGTGGGAGACAGTTTTGGACACTTAAAAGATGGGTCAAAATTTGGAAGTCCACTGCTACAGAGGAAGAGGAGGTAGTCAGTGTAAGAGGCGTCGTAGACTAGTCCTGGATCTGCTGCCTTCGTTGGCCTGAAATGCCCAGAACCGTATTGGATTGTTTTTTAGCCCCGCTGCAGGTTCAAATGAGGAAAACATCAGAAATAAAAACCTAGTCCATGACAACATTTGGATAATTAGCATTACTGTTTAGCCAACCAATGATGAAACAAATGTTTTAGTTAACCATTAAACAAAAAAACCATGGTTGATTGGAGCTCTATTTATCTTGGACAGTGGTTAATGGAAAATAACTTGAATTATCTACTAGGCAAAATAGCAGTATCATATTTACAAATACATTTGTCTTTATGTTCAATTAGATAAGCTTATTGATGCATTCTCAGTATATGTGGTGGTAGGTTATATATTTGACACTAATGGTTTATGAAACAATGGCCTTTTATCTATAAAGGGCCACGGCTACATGCCTAGAAAATTTTTACGAAAAAAAGTCCAGAATGAATTTAGGGTGTTTTGTTCTTCTTATCAATAACTCATGATTAAGTTGAGCGAAGTGGCTGAAAATAAGGATGAAAAATTGTGCCTGATGTTATAAGGGCAGATCTAATGGCAGCACTGCTCCAAGTAGGGTGTATCGCTTTGAGAAGTGCGGCTGCAGCAGCCACATGAGGACAAGACATGGAAGTTCCAGAAAGAATGTTATACTTAACCACTCTATGATCACTAGCCAATTTTGTAGGGGACGATGCTTCACTCCATGCTGCTAATATATTCAATCCTGGAGCTGTGATATCGGGCTATAAAGAGAAAGAAAATCACCATAAATATGAATGGACCTAAACAAACAAATGCATGAAAAATTCATTTTATACATAAATATATTTGTTACCTTGAGAATATCAGGGGTGATTGTGTTTGGACCCCTGCTTGTGAAGGCAGCCATGAATGGTGCTGGTTTACTATGCAACACTGTCCTTGCTGGGACAATATATGCCATTGGTTCCTTAGTAAAGTTGATATACTTTAGAATTTTGATTGCATTGTCCGAATTCACTGCAGTAGCAGGAAGAACATGAGCATCGGCTGCTAATTCAGCGCCGTTGTCTGGACTATTTCCTAAGATGAAGCCCACACCACCGGCCCTTTTGACCTCCTCGCCTTTTCCAACTCTAGTTCCATTTCCTCTCATGCAAAACACAATCTTGCCTCTAGCCTTCTTGGGTGAAAGCGAGCCTGGTAGGCATTGTCTGCAAAATTTTTGAAGTGTCAATCCAATATTTATCTCTAAAAAGCTATGAACAACTCTTCCAATGACCAAATTTAAAACAAGAAGAAAGATTACCCTGCAATATAATTTTTGGGCACTTTTGGGGCTACCACATGTGCTGCATAAACTAGTGGATACATTTTTTTCTTGAGCTCGTATGGAGTCACTGTTTGTCCCTATTATATTAACAAGAAAATAAGGTAATTAGTTACAAACCAAGAACATCATGAACTCGAGAAAAACATCATGATAGTGGTTGAGTTTGGCTAAGATGAAAGAGGTGGAAAGTGCGGAAGAAAAAAAAAAAACCCCTTTTTCTGCATTTGTTTAGCATGATAGTGGCAGAAAGTGCAAGAAAGTTAATTTTTTGTATAACTCATGTCAGCAAAAAAATTATTTTTCTCATGAAAGTTGTCAACTATTATCTACTATTCTCTCATTTTCAATTTTCTTACTACTCTCACAAAAATTTCGTCCTATCATTTCTTTCATTATCTTTCTACTACTTCTATTTTCCATCATATTTTCATTCTAATCAAATGAACTGTAAAGTTTACCTCAATTTTCATGCCGTTTCCTAGCACTAAAGGTGCAAAAAATACACGGTCCACACTGCTAGCACCAACAGTGATGATCCATGGAGCCGGATTGGACAATGTCGAGGGGGCAGGGCCACTGTTGCCAGCACTACATGCCACTACAATGTTGTTCCTGATGGCATGAAGTGCTCCAATTGCAATACCATCCTTGGGGTAAGGGGTAGGCTGAGATGTACCAATTGAAATGCTTATAACATGAACACCATCTCCAATTGCATCATCAATGGCTGCCAGCATGTCTTCAGCAAAGCATGTGTTCCCATCTTCCTTCCCTTGGCCTGGAATTGCCCAACAAACTTTGTATATCGCGAGATGTGCAAGTGGTGCACCACCGGAGGCAGTGCCACGAGCAAACCCGCCAAGGGCTGAGGCATTGGGAACTGTCCGACCTCCAACAGTCGATGATGTGTGAGTCCCGTGGCCATCCATGTCACGGGGAGACTTGTAATCCAGTGAAGTATTTAGAGGGCCATAGTGTTGTTCATAACCTTTAAGGTAGTATCTTGCTCCAATTAGCTTCCTGGAAAAAAAAAATGTTGCCAATAGTGTACCAAATTTAGTTGTGGATTGCCATGTTCTTTGTGTTGAAAGTAGTAAATCCACAATTTTCTAGAATATTAATATTAATGTTGGGTGATACATTATTTATGTAAGATACATCAATTTTGTTAATTGGGTACATAGGAATGTGAAATGATTTCTGAAAGTATGTGATACATATGTAGCTAGAATATTCTAATTAGTCCTAGATAAATGATATGGTAGGGTGATTCACGTAATCTAAGTGATGTTAAAGAGATTAATAAAAAAATATAATGATTGAGTTTTAAGTTCATATTGAATGAGTTCTGTAGGGCTCCTACAATCCTACATCTCCATGCATAGACACACCCACTAGTAAAATTTTTATGCTATGCTTCCGTTGCCTCAAACAAATTTGGTATTGAGTCCCTAAAAATTTTCATGATCTATAATTCAAGATAAAGGTTGGCAGCTAGAAAGCGCTAACCAAGGTTCAAAGATGAAAGCCAGAAAGGCAAGAAGCGAATCAGGAAGTTAGCAAGCGCTTCACCAAAAATAAAAGAAAGAATGAAAGCGGGTATATCAAATGATAATCGGAAAATGATTGGTCATTGCCAAAAGATGACAGCAGTAGAAAAATTAGTAGCAGCTATCCAATCATAGTGTCTTTTTTCTAAAGGGAAAATAGAGATCTTGTTAATATTTGTAATAAAAAATGGTAACCAACTGTATAAAAAGTTATCATTCTAATAAGTTAGAGTATATTATACTGAATTATGGTATAGTAGTTATAAAGTTGAACATTTATTCTGTAAATTATAAAATAATCGTCGATAATGAGAAATCGTCTCTTGAATCACCAAATATCTCTGCTTTCCATTATGCCAATCAAATCCATTCTAAAAATTAGAAATCAACGAATAAAAGAAAAAGTAAGTGGACCTAACCAATTGAATCAGGACTATATCTGCTATTCTGATATTCAAATTCGAAAAAAATGAAAGCTCATATATCGAAGGATACTCAAGAAATAATTGGTCATCACCAAAAAAATGGCAAAAGCGCAGAAAAAAAAAAAAAAAACCTCAACAACAACAAAAGTTGGAAAAATGAAAACGAATTTATCAAAAAGATACTCCAAGAGTTGAAATAAAGGATAGGAAAAGAAGGTATTCAGATCCATTCCTATAGCAGTTATGTGGTCCATTTGGAGACTCAGGAATGACTGCATAGTCAATGAGATGCAGCCCAATCTTGATGAGATTTGTGATCTGATCAACACTAGGATTGCTATTTGGTTGAAAACACAAGATATATATGGGGAATTTCTATTCTGTTACTGATATTGTATTGAATCTACATCAGTTCAGAAGAAGTATTGGGCTTCCTTGATGCTTGGGGTATTTGGTGACATTAATCAGAGTCTCTTCCTCCATTGGTGTGACAGCAGCAGTAGTGATCCTGTCTTTGGTCTGGTGTATTTCTCTGCATAAGTGGTGGGGTTACTAGTGTGTTGTTATCTTATTTCTCTCTTTTTTGTGTTGGTTTCTCCCCAACGCTTGAGGTTTGTGCCAGCTTATGATTGAGTAGGCCTCTTGGTGT